CTTTATAGCATTCTGCTCCAATTGCATTCTCATCTCCCCAAGAACTTCCTAATGTCCAATTTCATTTTTGCCCAATGTCTTCATCCCATTTTATGACAGATTTCTTACCAGAAGAATATAAAATATGCATTACATTCTCAAATATGTCTTTAATAATGGTTTTAAATAAAAGCAAATGTGTTTAAATCACTTCATGAATCCACCATTCATAAAGAGCAGAGAAAAGAGGGGGAAGCATTCATATAACTGCTAGGGTTAGTCCTTCATGCACAAACCAGGTAAATCATAATGTACCTTAAATTTTATTAGTAATGAGAATTCCATTGGTTTTAAACACTCACCTTTCTGGGTCTTCTCTTTAAAATGTATCATTTGTTGTCCTCAGTGTTAGGGATGCTATGAAAAAAGTGGGTTTGTAATGAGAATTCCATTGGTTTTAAACACTCACCTTTCTGGGTCTTCTCTTTAAAATGTATCATTTGTTGTCCTCAGTGTTAGGGATGCTATGAAAAAAGTGGGTTTAAGCACAGAGGCAAGAGACAGAGGGAAGAAAACCTGGTGGTAGAGAACTTTAAGTACTTCCCAGTGTTAAACGTGACTTGATAACCACTGTATGTTCATATTTTATTTATAGTTGGCTGTAGAGATGATCTTATACAACACAATCTTAAAATAATGAGCCTAACTTAATTGGTGGGTTTCTGAGGTAGTGTCTTCAGGTGGAAATGGTTATTACATATCAAAATCACACACACACACATATATACACACACAAATATATAGTTGTTTGGTTATACAAGATAAATGTGAATGCAAACTGAAAACCAATAGGAAAAAGACTCTCAATTCTGAAAATGGTAATTTTTAAATTTCATATTTTACTTTTCACAATAAACTTATGCATTTTCTCAGGATTTAGTGCCCCAAATGACTTACCTTTATTTTTCATGAAACATCCACCTTTATTTATATCAGTATTTATTTATAGAATAAGTATTTCTTTTAATGTGCTTTTATTTCTATAAAGATGCCACCTAGTGGCTTTATGAAATCAAGCATCTCCAAAGTATTTCCCAGTGTTACTCCAAGCTAAAATGTAATTTGATATGAATGAATGAATGAGAGAAAATATTAGGATTTAGAAAACCTGAAAATTACGCTTTTGGACTAAATTTGGATCATACCTCTATGACCTTGTTAAGAGACTGTATATTTTTTTTAATTTTTTTTAAAGATTTTATTTATTTATTTGACAGAGACACAGCAAGAGAGGGAACACAAGCAGGGGGAGTGAGAGAGGGAGAAGCAGGCTTCCTGCTGAGCAGGGAGCCCGATGTGGGGCTCGAACCCAAGACCCTGGGATCATGATCTGAGCCGAAGGCAGATGCTTAATGACTGAGCCACCCAGGTGCCCCAAGAGACTGTATAAATACAGATCTATAGTCCCTTTTCTGAAACCTTAACAGACAGATGTGAATTAATTCAGATTTTTCAGATTTTTGAAAGGTAATATGGACATATACTGTATATTCTGTAACACTGTCAGTAGGTCTGGGGAAGTAGTCCAGAATCAAATACATTAAGAATTCTGTGGCAAAAATATATTCATATTCACACTAAAGTGAGATAAAGACCACAAATAGCTTTATGTCAAGTCAGGTCAGATTTTGCTTCCAAATGAGTTATCAAAAAAGTTTGGTTTTACCCAGTTATAGAAAAAAAGAGTAAAATGAAATATTGTCATAAAATAGTAATATTTTTTAGAAGTGCCTAAAATGTTCACCTGAAAAAAAAAAAACACTATTTGAAGATCATGAGAAATCCCAAAAAACAATCTCTGCAATGCTTTTCCTTTAGTCATATATAGAAAGAAGCTAATCCATCATAAATTCCATTTAAGAACACTACAAAAAATTACCTACTAATATAAACTTAAAGATCACTTTGAAAACTCATTATTAGCAATGCATGGCAAGCTAAATGTATGAGTTTTAAAGCACATTCAAAAATTTGTTTCCTTTTTGTTTGTGTGTGTGATTGGTATGTTCCCTTTCCCCTGCCCTATGGTTATGGGAGCATGTGTTGAAACGGCATCATCCTCAGCCCAGATCCCTTATGTGACTCTTTTGAGAACTGTCAACCCTCATTAGACATGTATATGAATAAGAAACAAACTTCTGTTGTGTTAAGACATTAGGACTTTGGGGTAGCCTATTCTAATTCACTATTTTTCTCACTACTTTCCTTCACTAACTAGAATTTTGGCTTATTCCCTCTAAATACTTTAAATTTCTCCAGTCCCCATCAATAATTTAAATCACCTATCACATTCCCACTTTGATTTCTTGTGAACTCTATTAAAAATAAACCTCTTCATCCCCCTGTAAGCCAAACTTCTATCTTCTCATTTACTTTTTTCTCAAAATGTTAGTATTACTATTACTGTAGCATAGGCTGCAACCCCATTAAGTACTGAGTTTTAAAGGAAATTCTATCCCCAGATGGAAAATACTCATAGCATGTTCCTCGATTTGCTACTTTACCCTAGACAGCAGAACACACTTGCCTAGGTTTCTTTAACTTCTATTTGTTTATATAACCATGGAGCCTGGGAGGAAAAAGAAAAAGCTTTATTAGCCAAGATATGGAAATTTTCTTATACAGAACATTGTTGATTTCCTCCCTTTGACAGAAAACATGAGGGTATAGCATCTGCCTGCCAGTGATTGACGCCTGATGTAGATAATAGGGAAGTGGCATACAAACTCTGCTCTGCAGTTGGAGCACATGTGAAGGTCCTGCAAGACCTGAAGATCTTGTCTTCTGAGAAGAGTGAAACTGATCTCTTAGACTTCATGGCAGAGTTCCTGAATAAACAGAACATGGACTATCTGGAATGCCATCTTGGCAGTCAGAAGGAATTATAAGAGCTGGCCCAAAGGGAATCTGTTTGAACAGCCTGCTGAAGTATCAGGTGAAGACTTAACGTCTGAAGGCAACACAGCAAGCCTCTCCATTGTAGTAGGTTCCAGTCAGCTGTGAAAGACTGCTCTCACTTTTATCTAGTATCCTAATCCTCATTGTTGTGCTTAAAAATAAATCTGCTTTGCAGGGGCACCTGGGTGGTTTAGTCAGTTGGGCGTCTGCCTTTGGCTCAGGTCATGTTCCCTGGGGCCTGGGATTGAGCCCTGCATAAAGCTCTCTGCTCAGTGGGGAGCCTGTTTCTCCCTCTGCCTCTCCCTCTGCCTACTTGTGATCTCTGTCAAAAAGAATCTTTAAAAATTATTTTAAAAATAAATCTACTTTGCATTATAACAATAGCAGCAAAAAGGTGAATTAGCTTCACTTCTCTAACTGCACTTTAAGATTAGAAAAGGAAACAACAAAGATAAGCTCCTTTTCTTCCATCCCTCAATTCTGAGGGGAAGCTGGGGAGGGGAGGGGCAGATGGTAGAATGGAGACTGAAGGGACACGATAAAACCTGAGGCCTGGTGGCTCACAATGGCTGCCACTGCTGACATACCCCTTCTACTCAGGTAAGACTACTTCTCTAACTTCTGGTGTAGAAACCGATGGCAGCCCGCAACCCTGTTACTTCAGTGGGTGCCACATACCCTGTTTGCCCATGATAGTCATAGTTTATACCTGTTACCCTTATAAATTATTAATACTTCCTTTTTCTCTCAAAATCATTACAGGTCGAATGAAAAATCATATGATCATCCTAGATACAAATCATTTCCATTCCAAAGGAAAGAATGGGATAAATTTGAATATTCTGCACTCAGTTCACAGATAGAAGAAAGGGAGCATCGACTTTGCTGCCATTTTCTTGTTTGCAAAGCTCAAACTGATTAGCTTCTTTTTCTTTTGAAGTGTCTGGTGTATGATTAATCTGAATGAAACATGAGAGCCTAGGAGGAGTTGAAATGGGCCATTCTGAACATTACTCAAATTACTCACATTAGTCTAGAAGCCACTCAGCAACACTGAAGATCTGAAGAATTATTCGTAAAGTGATAAGAAAGCCTGATCTGGAAGTTATAGGAAGCAACCAGAAAATATCTGAAGGAGTAAAAACTATCAGGTGTAAGGTATATGAGCAGCTGAAATGGCAGTTAATAAATGTAAAAACATGGACCACACAGCAATGCCTTTTAAACACATACCCCATTTACATTATTTTCCTATATTCCATATGAAGATTTTTACACAAAATGAAATCCAGTTTACTACCCCTGTTCCTATTTGTTCTTTATAGTCATTTTTTTTAAAGTTGACAGTTTTTAATGACACAGTCATTTTGACAAAACAAATCAAGAAAGCAGGAAATAGGTTCTTTTGGTACAGTCCATATGGTACAGGCAGGAGTGACAGCAACCCAAGAATATTCATAAAAAATAATATAATGGTTAGGAACATGAGTTCTGGAGCAAGACTGTCCAGGTTCAAAATTTAGCTCCACGTCTTACTAGCTATGTGACCTTGGTTATTATTACACCACCTTTTCACCTGTTTTTCCAAGGTGCCCATGTTGCCTACAATGGCCTACAATTGCAGAAGAGCACTACTCACACAGAATCCTGGTTTCCTTACCTAGAGAAACGGAGGTAATTTGCAGGATCACACTTTTAAGAGTTGTAGTGCAGATATAAGAGTGAAATTTAGTCATGTACTTAGAAGAGTACCTGGCAAACATTAACAAATATTAGCTATTATTATTATATTATTACTATACTACTACTATCTTACCACCAGCATTTCTAAAGCAAACATCAATACGGTCCCCTTTTTATTAACAGCTACAACAGGAGCCCTGTTGGTTAAATATATGACACCCAAGAATTGTGGGAGGTGAAGCTAAAAAGTCTGATAGACACATCAAGCCATCTTTCTGTTTTCATGTGCTCAAAGGATGTGAAAAAAAAATGGTTGGTTAGGAAATCTGCTTGAAAGTATCTATACAGATATGTTTTAGGAGCACCTATTTTTTTATATCTATAAATATAATGTATTATATTTAAAGCAAATATTTAGAACTGAAAAGGAAGTTATAAATCATAAGTTCTACTTTTTTTTACAAAGAAGGAAATAGATCAATCTGACAGGTTGACAACTTGCCTCCACTTGAGTTCTTGATAGCACTAGACCCCTGGGATGAGAACCCCTGGACTTCTGCCTCTCTCTAAGGCTTTTCCCACTTCCCCCACAGAAGCTTTCTCTTGCATTCTGACTGCTGAAAAGTAACTCAATCCACTTCATTTAATATTTATTTACCATTCAATTTACAGCTCTGTAAGGGGAGAAATATATCAGAAAAAAAGTACAATTTTCTCTTTCTGAAAATTCTGAATGATTCTACTTTGCTCCAAGGAATAGCAAAAGACACAAAAACATATTTGTACAAACACACACAAAAGCACTATCTTTAAAGTTAAAAAATACCAAATTTAAGTATTTAGAAATGATAGAGTCTAGGGTGAAAGGGTGAGGACACGTGAAAAGTAATTTATGCCAATTGTTTCTTTCCTTGAATTAGCACTTATTTTGGGTTTGATACCCAACTGCACTCATATTGGAAACTTAGTGTAAACTACCTGGTGATTCCACTTAGAAGTTACAACCCATGTATGAGTAAGATGTTCTGAATATAAGCCTATGAAAAACTTTAGGAACTCTTGATGTCTTTCCTTTTACATAAATTCTATCTCAATCTGATGTACTTTGGGTGATCAAGAAAACTAAAGGCTAAGAACAGAAAGCTAACTTCTTTAAATGAGACAAATGGAAAAGTTTTTCCAACTACCACTATAAGAAATTTTTTCTTTCAAGAAAGAAATTTTTCTTCCAAATACCAAATCAATTTCCTCAACTGTACAGCTATAACTTGATGGTTTTTACTCTTACTACTTCACTTTTAAATTTGTCTAAACAATAATAATAAAGTATCTTTCCTGTTTTTTTTTTCAAGATAAAAATCATTAAATGATGTGTTGAAGATGCCACTATAAATACTTAACATTTTGGTTATGGCTTCTGCATTGAAAATCTATAGGAATTTTTCCAATTAACTTTCAAATCTTTCCACAACCTCTCTGTAAAAAACAAACAACAAAAAAAACTCCAACAACAAAATCTTTAAGATAGCTTAAATGAATGCTTTACATATCAAACATGGATTCACAAGTCCCTATACCGTAATATCAATTTTAAGAAGTGTCCTAAATATGCTCTGTATTAGTTTTCTTGATTATGTCAATAATATAGAAACATTTTTAATGTAACAGAACATTTAATTACATCCACATCCCATGAACACACTAGTCATTCAATGATTATATTGGCCACTTCCACTGGTTGGCAGGAGGCTCTTCCACTAAAGGCTCCCATGGTTTCCACTGTAACATTTTTCTGGCCAGACTTAGTTCATTTTCAGCCTGTTAATAAAAATTTTTAAAAGATCATTTGATTACACTGTTCAACAGGTATTTATCATAGCTAATGACTGAAATATAATTATTAGAACTGTTGTCAACATATTAATACCTAATAAACCGTTCCACCATCAAATGTTGAACATTATTAATAAAATTATCTTAATTCTCATAGCTACATAATCATGAGTAAGAAAGGATGGCTTTTGATTTTTTCTATTTGATTAAAATTTGCTATGAGAGTGTTCAAAAGTTTACTTGGTGAATTTTTAATCTTAATTGTCTGTTTCACCATTAGACTACAAATTCTTTGAGAATGAGATGTCTCTTCATCTATGTTTTATCATGGGCCACAGTAAAACACAACAAATTCTACTAAAGGATCCATAATATACATATAAAAGTAAAACAAAACTAAAAATATCATTACCTTTACTAGCTATGATACATTATTTTCTATTATTTTTTTACCTGCTAGTCACAACCCATCTGATTTCTTGACCCATAATCACTTAAGACCCAGTTTGTAAAACAGTGATCTATGGAGTGTAGAATATCATAGGTGCACAAAAATTATTTATTGATTGAATTAATTTCCTTAGTCAATTATTTTACATTTGCTTGTTTCCCTTCAAGCAAATTTATAACGTATTTAACAAATATTTTACGTATCTTTTTATTTCACATTTTTATACAAGAAAAAGACCTATGACAACTCTAGCCAACTTAGAAGAACACTGTTAAACACTTGTCAGGATGTCAGAGAAGGAATTCAAATACAGAGTTAAGTGCCAAATAAGTGCAATGCCTCATTTATGCCAGTGGGGCAAAACAGCCAATCTATGTTTAGCAGCAAGTCTAAAATGTATACAAACAATGACTTAAAAAGTAGATTAATAGAAATCTGAGGGTAGAGGGATTTACTAATGCTGAAATGAGAAAATAGCATAAATACTAACTAAAAATATCCCTAAAGATGGCTGTTTCCCTGATGGCCCTTTGGCCTGGGTCTCTTGACCATTCATGCTTTCTTTAAGCCCCCAAGGCATCGTGTAGTGTGGGGGCCTGAACATCACCGAGGTCAACCCCAATTCAGGTAGCTGACCCAGCTGCATGAGACCCCTGTTGCCTACTCCTACTCTCTTCCTTGGCTTTTTTTTTTTAAGATTTTATTTATTTATTTTTGACAGAGAGAGACACAGCGAGAGAGGGAACACAAGCAGGGGGAGAGGGCAAGGGAGAAGCAGGCCTCCCACCGAGCAGGGAGCCCAACGCAGGGCTCAACCCCAGGACCCTGGGATCATGACCTGAGCCAAAGGCAGATGCTCAACTGACTGAGCCACCAGGTGCCCCCTCTTCCTTGGCTTCTAACACACTACCTTTTCCTTATTTCTCTCATACTACCCCTCTAGAAATGGGCTATCCAAAATGGTAGCTACTACCTATATGTGACTACTGAGTAAGCATTTGAAATGCAGCTAGTTCAAATTCAGATGTGCTGCAAGTATAAAATACACAAAAGATTTTAAAGACTTAGTATAAAAAAAGAATATAAATGTCAATATTTTAATATTGATTATATGTTTCAGTATTTTAAATGTATTAGGTAAAGTAAAACATTATTAAAATTTAACTTTAATACTGCCCATGAAAATGTGGAGAATGGCACAGCTGACATAAAAACACCTATTGTAGGGGCGCCTGGGTGGCTCAGATGGTTAAGCATCTGCCTTCGGCTCAAGTCGTGATCCCAGGGTCCTGGGATCGAGTCCCGTGTCGGGCTCCCTGCTCCTTGGGAGCCTGCTTCTCCCTCTGCCTCTCTCTCTCTCTCTGTCTTTCATGAATAAATAAATAAAACCTTTAAAAAAAAACAAAACAAAAAAAAACACCTATTGTACCCTGAGACTGCAATTGCATGATAAATTAATGTATAAGTTAAACTAAAGTCATGATCAAAGTGAGCTCTGACAGAAAAGAAAGAACAGGAAAAGGACAATAATAAGTTAGCAGCAAGCTCCCATATGGTAACAAACAGTTGGCCCATGAGTAGAAGGCCAGGAAAATAGGCCTTGGAATGACCGAAATAGTCTACATTCATAAAAAGCTCTCCGAATGCCCTATTCCTCTCTTAACAAAGCCATCTAACATCTTCTGAATTTGTGTGTCATGTCTATTGGTGATATACCTCCCTAATCACCCATACTACCCAATATTTCCTTTTGTCCTTTAATAAAACTCAAGAAGAAATGGTTGTATTTTTTTAAAATACAAAAAATGTACAAATTAAGTGAAACGAGTATCAGATGGCTTCTAAGGGTAGACATCTAAACCTATAATATTGGGGCAGGGAGAGGGGGTCTGAAGTGGTGGGGCAAAGGGGGAGGGTGAGTTGACCAAATAAAAATTTTAAAAATCTCTACATGAGAGAAAATATTGAGTTGAAGTCAAAAGGCAAAGAAGAGACGGAAAAAATGTGCAAATATAGCAAAATTTAAGGTTAATATCTCTTTTATTTTAAAAAACACTCAAAGAAATATAGAAGAAAAACACTAAAAATAAATGATAGCGTAAAACCATGAATGATATAATTTATAAAACACAAAATACAAGAACATATTTTAAGTTTAACCTTACTAGTAATTGGGGAAAAAATGCACAACTTAAAAAGAAAAAGGCATAGATGTGTTAATCAAAGTCAAAAATAAAAATACATTTTAACTTTATGATTTTATGATTCAAAAAATCTGTATTTCTCCATATTCAAAATATACTAAGCCTTTAAAACATAAAAGTATGTATCTAAAAAGATAAAATTATTCAAATAACAGTAATATTGTGTTACTAGTTTGAACTAAAGGCTAACAAGACCATGCTGATTAAATTCAAGGTGTATCCAACTCCAAATTTCTAAAAGAAGCCTCATAAATTCAAGTTATAATTACTGATAAATATTTAATTGACATATACATGATAGAAATATTTCCTATATGTGATTATTCTTATATTTCAGAGTTGATATAAAGAAATTTAGTTTTTCCTTTTTTCTGGAATGTCAGTTTTGTGTCTCTAAGTATTGTGCCTCTGACCATTTAAAAAGCCAAACATCTAAATATTCAACTTTTTCTTTACCTGAAGAATCACCTCTTCTAGTTGGCCACCCTGAAGTTGGTCTTCTAATTTCTTAACATCTGGTTCCTGTAATTTAAGCGGAAAAAAGAAAAAAAGATTTAAAGAAAGGAGCACAATATCTGAATGTTTTAATATCCTAATTAAAAAGACCCAAATATAAAATAGCACTTACTATAGCAAACATAATTAATTTTTCTTTCATTAAACCCTTACTAATGTTTGCCAAGTATCTGGTGGAAACCCGTTTAATCTCTCTACTATTTTATTGCTTTTCTGTCTTAATATTAACTTGCATATCAAGAGTAAGAAATATGATGTCCAACTCGGTCTTTCTAAAACACAGATTTTAAAATACCACTTTATTTTCTTAGTATTTCCTATATTTCGTCTCAGAACATTAGTATTTGAAATAAATGCTATCCTATGACCCAGAATTCCACTCCTAGGTATATACCAAACAGAAATGTATAATACATTAACCAAATGGCATGTCCAAGAATGTTCACAGCAGCACAAATTATAACCCTAAACTAGAAATAATTCAAATAATCATATATAGAATTAATGAATAAATTATAGTATTTGGATATAACAGACTACTACATAGCAATGAGAAAATACGAATAACTGTAAGTAAAAACATAGATGATTCTCTCAAACATAATATTAAAATAAAGAAACTACACACAAAAGAGCACAGACTGATGATTCCATTTATAGAAAGTTAAAAACCAGGTGAAATGTATCTGTGGTGACAGAGGTCAGAAGAGTCGTTATCTTTAGGAGGGTAGTAACTTGGAGGGAAGAAAGAGAGGGTTTGGGCATTCTGGAAATGTCCTCTTTTTGATTTGGTGTTAACATGGGTGTGATTACTTTGTGCAAATTCATCAAACTCTACATTTATGATTTCTGCACATTTTGGTACATTATTCTTCAATAAGAGGTTTTTTAAAAAAGAAATGCAAGGGCGCCTGGGTGGCTCAGTCATTAAGCATCTGCCTTCAGCTCAGGTCATGCTCTCAGGGTCCTGGATCAAGCCCCGCATTGGGCTCCCTGCTCCGCGGGAGGCCTGCTTCACCCTCTCCCACTCCCCCTGCTTGTGTTCCCTCTCTTGCTGTGTCTCTCTCTGTCAAATTAATAAATAAAAATCTTTAATAAAAAAAAAAGAAATGCTAATAGGGTACCTAGAAAATACAATGACATGTATTTATTGCTAGTAAACTGAGCTTTGTGAGATCCAGAAACCATGTTCTATACACTTACACTTACATAAGTAAGGTGTAAATAGGATGGTTTTTTGGCCCACAAATGGAATGAAAAGAGGGAGAAAAAAAACAAAGCTATTTTCTACAGGAACTGGCATGTTTCTGCTTCTGGGCATCTGCTGGCTGACCACGGATATCTGCATGGCTTGTTCCTTCACTTCCATTCAAGTTTTTGCTCATATATTACTTTCTCGGTGAGGCCCAGTCTGATAATAATTTATACTGTGGTAGGCTAAATAATGCCCCACAAAATGTACATGACCTAATCCATAAAACCTATGAATGTTACCTTGTGTGGCAAATACTTTGCAGATGTAATTAAGAATTCTGAGACAGAGAGATTATCCTAAATTCTCCAAGTGGGCCCTAGCAATTACAGATGTCCTTATAAGACAGAGGCAGAGGGAAATTATGCATAGAAGAGAAAGTAATGTGAGGGCGCCTGGGTGGCTCAGTTGGTTAAGCGACTGCCTTCGGCTCAGGTCATGATCCTGGAGTCCCGGGATCAAGTCCCACATCAGGCTCCCTGCTCAGCGGGGAGTCTGCTTCTCCCTCTGACCCTCCCCCCCTCATGTGCTCTCTCTCTCTCTCTCTCAAATAAATAAAATCTCAAATTAAATAAATAAAAAATAAATAAAATAAAAAAGAAGAGAAAGTAATGTGACCACAGAGGCAGAGATTAGAATGATGTGGTCATAAGCCAAAAAATGCTGAAAGCCACCAGAGCTGGAAGAGTCAAGGAACAGGGTCTACCCTAGAACCTCTAAAAGGAATGCAGTCTTGTCAACACCTTGATTTGGGCCCTTGGTACTAATTTTAGAATTTTGGCTTCCAGAAATGTAAAAGAATAAATTTCTATTGTTTTCAGCCACCAAGTTTAGAACAGGCAGAGGAAGTAAAAACGTGTTATAACATCCCTCATCACCCGGATACACATCATTCTCTTTTCATTTTCCTTCACTGCATTTAACTGCTTTCTAACATGCTATGTAATGTACTTCTTTATTTACTCACTTACTTCTTTGCCTCCCACCATTAATGTATAATCTCCAAGAAAGCAGGGATTTTTACCCGTTTTGTTCATTATCATATAGGCACTGGCTTCCATGCCTACAACCATACATGGCATATAACAGGCATTCAGTTGTTTCTTGAATAGATGAAAATAGTTGGAAAAGAAGAGGGAGGAAAGCAGAGGAACATGTTTGAGAAAGACTGTTTAACTCAGAATTAACTGAGCTTTAAAGCCAAACTTCAAAAGCAAAACTGGGAAGGTGGTCATTGTTAAGAGACCCAGGAGAGTGAAGAAAAGCAAGCAAGGAAGGTTCATTATTTTCAACTCAAGAGAACCTTGTGCTAGGAAAACAACTCAAAATTTGTCTTAGTGAAGGTAAGTTAATAATATGACCTCTATTTATCAGTGGCACAATGTAATTAAGCTTAATAAGCTACCATGTTCTGATCACATGTGCTTGCCACTATGTTAAGCACTGTACATATATTACCTCATTCAGTCCTAACAATAAGTATTCAGGTAGGTATTATTATACCCAAATTTTAGATGAGGAAACTGAGACAGAGAAATGGGTAATATGCCAATAGTGACTCAGCAAATAAGGATTAGAGCTGAGATGAAAATTTTGGACAGGCCACAAACCAATACTTTTCACCAATATTCTATCTCCCTAGTATAATATGAAAAAGTATTTATTTTTATTTCCATTTTTGGCTTAGTAAGTAGATACTTTAAAATAATAACAATATTCACTGAAGACTTTGTGTAAGACTCGACTGAGGGTTAAAAATCTGTAATAATTTTACCAAAAATAGGAATCAGTGATACAACTATTATGCAGTGCTTGGGATTGTTAAAAACTATTTGTATGTAGGCTTCTAGATAAACAAACATTTCTACGGGACCTTATATAAGCACCAGGTACCATGCTAGATTCTTGGGATACAAAGATGAATGGAAACATCAATCATAAGTAGCTTATGGACTAGTAGAGAGGACATAAATAAAATACAGTGTGACAGGTACAATGGAAGAAAAGCAAGGAAACTGTCAATCTCTCCTTGGGGAGGTAAGAAAAGGTTTCACGGAGGAAGAAGTAACGGATCTTAAGGCCCGAGTAAGAACTGCCAGAAAGACAAGGTAAGGGCATTCCAGGAAGGGGGAAGAGAAAACACAAAGAAACACAAAAATAAAACTGCATGTAATTCACATAACTATCAGCTGTTTGGTATTGCTGAAGTATAGGGTACGAAATGGAAATGACAACATAAGACTGAGAAGATAATCCAGAGTCAGATCTTGGGGCGCCTTCCATACCATGCTAAGGACTTTATCCTGGAAGCCAGTGGTTCCCAACCCTGGCTGTACATCAAACACTTGCAGATAAAAGTAGTTAGGTGAGTTTCATACAATTAACTCAGCAAACATTCTTAAACTCGGCCTCTGAGAAACACTAACCAATAAACCACAGGAAGGTTTTTAGGCAGGAAGAACCTGGATCAGATTTATATACTGAAAAAAAAAAATCACTCTATTGGCAGTGTGGGGCATATAATGAAGTATGATGGAACTACACACAGACCAGTAAGTTACAACGCAATCAGAAGAGCCGAAGTCAGAGAAAACTATTTTAAAACTAATAAGTGAAAGTAATGACAGTAAACTATTCTTTGGTTGACACTGGCTAAGACAGAAAAGAAAAATGGGGCAAAAATAAAGGAAGATATAAAGATAACAGTTTTCAAGACAGGAATAAGTTAAATACATTTTGAGGCTATCTGAAAGATAAGATCAGAGGCTAAAAAGAGAAATAGAAAAAAACAAAGTGGAATAAGGTTATGGAGAAGGAAAGCAGAGAAACACTCAGAGTTGAAGAGCTTCACCTCATCAAAGAGAAAGGGAAATTTCTTACTCTGTGATGGGAAAAAATTCATAAGCCCACTTACCTTAAGGAAAACATGAAATCAAAGGAAATGTTGAACTTCCCCTTAGAGACTTTAATCTGTAAGTCACTTTCAGAATTGCCAAGCTAAAAATAAAAGTTCTAAATCAAATTGCATTGTTTTGCTGCATACCTAGGGAAAAATAATTATTCTCTTTGGGCTAGGTTTTGGTAACATAATAATAAGAAAAATATATTAGAGCCACTTATTACATACATGTAATTACTTTTAGAGTTTATGAACATTTTTGGATAATTACAAAAGTCTGTGAAATAACTGCTGGTGTGAAAATTTAATAATTTAAAAATTTAATTGCACAAGAGGGCAATATAGTTTGGTATAAAAGAACTAGCAGCAGTCTATGGTGTGTCTGGCTAGGGCCTTTGATTTAAAACCTGTAAAATGCTTGTATTAGTCTGCTAGGGTTGCCAACAAAATACCGTAGATTGTGTGGCTTCAACAACAGAAATTTATTTTCTCACTGCTCTGGAGACTGTTAGTCCAAAATCAAGGTCCAACAGGGTCAGTTTCTGATGAGAGTTTTCTTTCTGGCTTGCATATAGTTACCTTCTCATTGTGTCCTCCTCACATGGCTGTCTCTTCTCCTAAGAACACTAATCCTACTGAACCAGGGTGCCAATCTTATGACCTCATTAACCTTAATTACTTCTATAGATGTTCCATCCATACTGGGGGGATTAGAGCTTCAACATATGAATCTGGGGAGGGAGGGGGGAAATACAGTCAGTCCATAACAATGTTTGATACAATTTTTGGTAATTAAGACACTGACTCGGTCCTCTTTCTAACAAAGCACTTTCTAAAATAGTTATTTCTGGGAATTTTTTTTTAAACACAACAGACATTTTTTGTTTTGCTTTCATTCTTCTCTACTCTGAAACTAAAGAAAAGAGGTAAGGATTGATGTATCTATAGAAAGTCAATAACCAACAAAGGACTTGATAGGGAAGAGAGGTAAAAGAACAATGTGAACTTAAGAGACTTGATGTTATTCTTTCACTCTGGTATTTAACAGTGGCTTGCACATGGAAAGCACTTAGTAAACAGGAGTTTGCTGAATGAAGGGAAAAAGGATGGAAGGAAAGCACAGAAGAATAAAAGAGAGGAAAACATGTAAAATATGTAAAAAATAAGCAACTGAACTTTTTTGTTAATATTGCATTGAAACCATAAATCCAAATCAAGACAGCTACTTACCGCTTTAACCATACTCAGCTTCTCATTTGTAATCTGTTCTGTATACTTTCTATATGCTGCGTTTTTAGGAATTTGCTCAAGAACATCAAGAATCTTTGTGTACAATATTCTTAGCCTCTGAAAAGACAAATCATATACATTTCCAATTTAAAATATCATCAAAGATTCAACAGAACACTTTTAAAAAGTCTCACAAATTACAAAAAGAAAAAAAAAGACTCACATCTGTTTTTTAAAATGCATTTAACTCTTTCTTATTGCTATTTCTTCATGTCTATGCCCTATCCATCACCTTTATAAATGAGGAAAAATGTGAGTACAGTTGACCCTTGGACAATGCTGGGGTTAGGGAGCCAATCCCTGGCATGGTTGAAAATCCACGTATAACCTATGACTCCCCCAAAACTTAACTACTAATAGCTTACTGTTGACTGGAAGCCTGACCAATAACATAAACAGTTGGTTAACACATATTTCATATGTTGTATGTATCACATATATTCTTACAATAAAGTAAGCTAGGGAAAAGAAAATGTTATTAAGAAAATCGTAAGGAAAATATACTTATAGCACTGTACTGTATTCACTGAAAAAAATCTGCATATAAGTGGACTCATGCAGTTCAAACCCATGCTATTCAAGGGTCAAGTGTATAAATATGGATACTTTTTATGTTGCATGAACAAAAGTTGTGTATAAGCCAAAGGTATGATAAGAAGTAGAACTAAAACTGCATTCTAACTTATTGCTAATGATGGTGAGCGCTGTGAATTGTGCAAGACTGTTGAATCACAGATCTGTACCTCTGAAACAAATAATGCAATATATGTTAAGAAAAAAAAAAGAAGAAAAAGATAGCAGGTGGGGAAAAATGAAGGGGAGTAAGTCGGAGGGGGAGACGAACCATGAGAGACGATGGACTCTGAAAAACAAACTGAGGGTTCTAGAGGGGAGGGGGGTGGGGGGATGGGTTAGCCTGGTGATGGGTATTACAGAGGGCACGTTCTGCGTGGAGCACTGGGTGTTATGCACAAACAATGAATCATGGAACACTACATCAAAAACTAATGATGTAATGTATGGTGATTAACATAACGTAATCATAAAAATAAATAAAATAAAAATCAACTCATTTTGGGGCGCCTGGGTGGCTCAGTCATTAAGCGTCTGCCTTTGGCTCAGGTCATGATCCCAGGGATCAAGCTCCATATGGGGCTCCCTGCTCAGCGGGAAGCCGCCTTCTCCCTCTCCCACTCCCCCTGCTTGTGTTCCCTCTCTCACTGTGTGTCTCTCTGTCAAATAAATAAAATCTTTAAAAAAAAATTTAAAAAATCAACTCATTTATTAAATCATTATTTCTCAAATTGATATCCTAAGCACTACAAATTCAGATTTTTTTTCAATTTTTCTTATTTGAATTTCTGTAGAAGTAAAACATACAAACAATGATTATAAAGGATGATCAAACTTAACTAAATATAGTCATAATACTTCAGCTTATGATGACTGAGTTGGTATCATGTGAATGAAGGTTTCACCACAGGCTTAAGAGAAAAGGAACACGAGAACAGAGTCACCGTATAGCCTGTATTAAAGCACACTGAACTTCAAGTTCACATACAGCAGTCAGTAGTAAAGTCACATGGTAAGAAGCTGTTATAGCAGATCCTAACTCACAAGTGTTCATAAGTAGTAAGTATAGTCATAAATATACATACATGATAAAGAACTTATTATTTATTTGTATTTAATTTGAAACTTGTTTTAGTTTAATTGTACAAAATCCATAGGTGTTAATACCTAGTTTCATTCATATATATTCACAATATACATACGAATAAGCAAATTAATCTTCAGGGCCTCTAAGAATTGCTTTTCCTAAAAAGTAATCTGCATATTTAGACATTATTTATATATTTGAATACGATGTTCCATAAGAGGGTATTTTAACTATACTAATGTAGAAATTATTGGATAACATATAATCTGAATTATATGTGGGTTTTTTAGCCTCATTTCTTTTTTTTTTTTTTAAAGATTTTATTTATTTATTTGACAGAGAGAGAGAGAGAGAGCAAGAGAGGGAACACAAGCAGGGGGAGTGGGAGAGCGAGAAGCTGGCTTCCCGCGGATCAGGGAGCCCGACGTGGGGCTCAATCCCAGGACCCTGGAATCATGACCTGAGCCGAAGGCAGACACTTAACGACTGAGCCACCCAGGCGCCCCTAGCCTTGTTTCTTCTTTTTTTATTTTTTTTTTAAGATTTTTATTTATTTACTTGACAGAGAGAGAGACAGCGGAGAGAGGGAACACAGGCAGGGGGAGTGGGAGAGGGAGAAGCAGGCTTCCCTCAGAGCAGGGAGCCCGATGCGGGGCTCGATCCCAGGACCCTGGGATCATGACCTGAGCGGAAGGCAGACGCTTAACGACTGAGCCACCCAGGTGCCCTGACTCATTTCTTCTTAATTTTAGCAAAGGATATGGCACTAGAAAGGTCAGGTTAAGAGACTTGGGTTCTAAAATGAAGATGTTAATAATATCTGCTTCACAGGTTGTTGTAGAACTTAGAACAGTATCTGACACACATTAACTTTCAATAAATGTTAGTATTATTCTATTGGAGGGAGTCACTTCAGCAGGTATCAGAGAAAGTTTCAAGAAAAAGAACTATCTGAGATAGACCTGGAGGAATGGTAGAACTTGGATGCTTAAGACATAGGAAAAGACAATTTTATACATGGAATACACACATAGGATTGAATGGCAAAAATAAAAGGAACATAAAGCCATCAGTATATAGTTCTATTTTCCTTAAACTGTGCTGTTCAATAGCCACTGACCAAATATGACTATTGAGCACTTGAAATGTGGCTAGTCTGAACTAAGAGTGCTATAAATGTAAATATACAGTGGATTTTGAAAATCTAGTATAAAAAAGAGTATAATATATTAACTTTTATATTGATTATATTGTGAAATGGTAATATTTTATTAAAATAAATAAAACATTAATATATTTTAAATATATTACATAAAATATATTATTAGTTTTTACCTTTTCTGTATTAAAAAAGTGAGTCCTAGAAAATTTAAAATTACAAACATGGTTTACATTTATAACCCACATTATACTTTTATTGGACAGCATGTGGCTAGAATATAGAATACACAAGAAATGTTTAGGAGATAAGGTTAGAGAAAGAGTCAGACTGTAAGTGGTTTTGTGTGCCAAGTTAGAGCATTTGAGATTATTCTGTGGGCAATTAAAAGATGTAGGGAAATTGCATGATTAGATTTGTGTTTCAGGAAAATTAACCAGGTAGTAGTGACTTAAAGGACTAGATGGAAGTGAAAAAAGCAGAAAGGCCCGTAACAAAGTTGCTGCAATTCTCTAAACAACAGCAGGGGATGAAAATGTGGTAACGGGCAGAAAAGGAAAGACGTCAGACTGGAGAGCTGTTACAGAAAAGGATCAAGAGAACTTGTCACTGGAATTAACATGAAGATACAGGGGAAAGAGAAGTATCAACCGTGATGTTCAGCTGCCAGCCTAGGGAGTAGAAAGACTCTGATACCATCAGGAAAAATAGAGTCCACAGTAAAAGAAATAGATTTAGAAAGGGAAAACCATGAGTTCCGTCTTAGATAATAATGAGTCATTGTGAACTCATAAGAAGTACACAACATTCATTCAACAAACCTTATATTTGCTGAGCACATACCATGTGCTGGTTATTGTTCTAGCAGTGAACAAAATAATAAAAAATCCCTGCCTTCATGAAAACCTATCTTCTAATAGAGTAAATGATTAAAATAAATGAGTAGCATACAGTGTGCTGAATAGTTACCTGGAGGGCCTTTGTTAGGACTCTTCTATTCAAAGTGAAATCAAAAGCCAGTGGAGAGTTTTGCAGAGTGACATGACCAGACTCACATTTGTCAGGCTGACTCTAGCTTGGTTGAAGACAGACCAAACTGAAGAAGTGACAAGGAAGGAGAGGCAGTTAGGAAGCAAATGCAATTATCTACAGCTTAATGATGGTTGCTGAGAACATGGTAGTAGCAGAGGAGATGGTGAGAAGTACTCAAAATCTGGATATATGCTAAAAGTAGAAACCTAGAGGATTTAATGAAGTACTAAATGTGGAGTGTGAGCAAAAGAGAGAAATTAAACATGAACTCAAAGTTTTTGACCTGAGTGAACACAAGAATGGAACTGCCATTCATTGAGGTGAGCAAGCCTGAAAAAAGAGGTTTTAGGCAGAAGAACAGGAACTCAATTCGGACATTAAGTCTGGGTTGCCTGTCTGACATTCAAGTGGAGATATCACTAAGCAATTAAATACAGAAGACTCTCATAAAGAGAAGTCAGGGCTTGGCACAGAAATCTAACAGTTATCAGTGTACAGATGGCATTTAAAACCACTACACTGGAGCACCTGGGTGGCTCAGTCATTAAGCGTCTGCCTTTGGCTCAGGTCATGATCCCAGGGTCCTGGGATCGAGCCCCACATTGGGCTCCCTGCTCCGCAGGAAGCCTGCTTCTCCCTCTCCCACTCCCCCTGCTTGTGTTCCCTCTCTCGCTGTGTCTCTCTCTGTCAAATAAATAAAATCTTTAACAAAAAATATTAACAATAATAAAACCACTAGATTGGGTCCAGACAAGGAGACAAATATAGAGAAAAGTTCCAAGAACTAAGTCTTAGCACTCCAAAATTTGTAAATTGGAATATGAGAAATAACCAGAAAAGGAGAAGGCAAAAAGAGTAAGGGGGATAAAAAACAAACAAAAAAACCCCAGGAGACTGAGATGTCTCCAAGCACAAAGTGCTTGGTGGAGACAGTGCCAAATGTGGCAAGTGCTGTTACTGGGTCAATTAGATGAGAAACATGAGCTGACCAATGGATTTAGCAGAATGGAAATCATGGTGACCTTGGAAAGAGCAGTTCTAGGGGCGCCTGGGTGGCTCAGTCCTTAAGCGCCTGTCTTCGGCTCAGGTCATGATCCCAGAGTCCTGGGATCGAGCCCCGCATCGGGCTCCCTGCTCAGCGAGGAGCCTGCTTCTCCCTCTCCCACTCCCCTTGTTTGTGTTCCCCCTCTCAATGTGTCTCTCTCTGTCAAATAAATAAAATCTTAAAAAAAAAAAAAAAGCAGTTCTAGCCAAGTCTGAGTGGAGTGAGTTCAAAGAGCAGTAAGAGAAATTGGAGACAGTTAAATACAGATAACTCGAGTTATCTATAAAGGGGAGGAGAGAAATGGTGTGATTATTGAAGGGAAGAAAGGGATCGAGGGAGGAGGCTTTTTAAGTTTTTTTTTAGATGGAAGCATTCCCACTAAAAGGGAAAACTGGTGACATAGGGGGTTAATTGCTAGAGCGATATATTCGGTAAGCCAAAGTGTATTGGAATCTAAGGCAGCTAGGCAGAAAATGTGAGGCGGGGTTAAAGGTGGAAAATGGAGATATAGGTATGGGAGGGCATTCGTTAAAGTACAAGGGAAGCCACGAGAAGGCTACGGAAAAACTGAACAAGAGCGGCTTAAGAACGCGGTCATGGCGCACGCACGCACGCACGCACGCAAACACAGGGCACCGGTCAGAGCAGACTGTTCTTGTCTCAAGGCCGCTCTCAGGCTGAGCTGTAATTTCACGCTTGAAATATCCGCATCCCCTTAGCCTTTCCCCCAAGGTCACAGGGTTCTAGGCGTCCTTGGGAAGTCAGGAAATGAAGCAGCACGTACCTCGTGTGGACTTTCACATACAGCCAATCCCACAAGGCCGGTGGTCTGTTCAAAAACAAGACACGATTCACGCTGTTTATTCCGCGCGCCCACCACACTAAGGAAAGGCAAAACCACCAGTCCCCGGGCCAAAACTGGCCTAAAAGCAGCTATCGGTCTCTCAGCGCCACTAGTTGGGAGCGTTTTTTCTGCCTCTCCGAGCGGAGCTACCGAATCTGTCACCCCTGAGGGCACAGCAGAATAGGTCCCCCAAAACACCGGCAAGCCCGCGCCAGCGGCGGCCACCACCCGCGGGATGAGGGGCTTTCGGGCTGACTACCCCCACGGTCTAAAACCCAACAGTGACCTCCATTCACCTTACCTTCTTCAGCAAACCCGCCATGACGGCGCCGACAGGGCGGGGACGCGCTGTCCTCTGGGAACCTCGCTCAGACCCGCTCAATCCACCACCGAGGCCGCCACACCGTCACCTTGGAAACAGCTTCGTTCCGCCGGGCTCAGGATTTCCACCCAGGCAAAGGCTGCGCCCCGCCCATTTCTAAGGGGAAAATTGACGCATGCGCAACGAGTACGCAAGCGTCTAAAGCAGACGGTGGAGGAAGCTGCTTTACGTCTCGGTTCTTGCTCTTACTACCGTTGACGGCTTGCCCAAAGTTTGAGAGAAACACTCCAAATTTCCAAAAAGCTCCGACAGAACCTGCCCTCGGCTTAACCTTTGGCGAATTCCTCAACCTCCCTTCCATAGTGTAGTGTGTAGTAAAATGAGAGTAGTTCTCTGGCGCTATCATCTAAGTGGTCTCATGGCAGCAAAGGTTAATAGCGCAAGCATATCGGTATTCTCAGTCTAATGCACCAAAGTAGTTTGCAGTGTGAGGCCATTTCCTGTCTCAACACTTTCCCACTTCACTTTCGGAAGTACATCATCCACTTTCTCATTTCCCCAGGTGAAGTGATAACGGACCATAGCACGTCTGTCTCCCCAGTTATCTCTGCAAACATTTATCGAGTACGCATTATGTGTTAGTTGCCGGGACATAATTTGTAAGACAGGATCCCACGTCCTGGAGTTTACTAAACAAGGACGAAAACGTGCATTAATATTTGGTAAGTGTTCTAAAAGAGGTTTGTGCCAAGTGCAGTGGTAGCAGGGAAGAGGAAATAACTAACCAAAAATGGTAGATAACTGGAGCTGAAGTAGGCATTTGCTAAAAAGTCAATGGGAGAAAAGCACAAAAAAATTGAGTGAACACGTGTACGAAGAAATATATATATATATATTCTGAGTAGCAAGAGGTGTAACAAATAGTAAAACAACCCGTAGAATGGAAGAAGATATTTCCAACCACATAAAATCATCAAAAGATAAGTGGCACCTGGAATACACAGGGAACTTCTATAAATCAGTAAGAAGATAACTAATAACCAGAACAGGTCTCCCCTCTTCCATTCTTGCCTCCCACTCTGGAATATATGAAATGAGTTAACATATGTAAGGCGCCTGGCTGAGTGCATGGAACACAGTACCACACACGTGATTGTTATTAATTTTTTATTTCATGGTTATTATTCTCAAACAAGTAACTATAATAATCCTTTTAGAATGTACTGTGCTCAAAATTCTCGCATGGTTTTTCACTCAAGGTGTAAAAATCAAAGTCCTTTCATCTACCTGTAAGGTCCTGCACCACATAGCCCCACAGCCTCTCATTTCTCAGACTTGACCTCCTATTCCCCTCTCCCTGCTTAGGTAGCTGTTCTTCTAACCCTTTTCTTGGAAAACCCTTCCACCAGATGGGCACATGGCTCCATCTTTCACCTCCTTCAAGTCCTTGCTCAAATAGTACCTTCTAATTATGGCCTGCCCAGATTTAAAATCACAAATTACCATGCACTCCTTGTGTTCTTCTCTGTTTTGTTTTCTTCATAGTCTTTATCCCCTTCTAATATGCTATCTAATTCTCTTACTTATATTGTTACTGTGCATCACCCTTTCTAGAATATATAAACCATATGCAGTGGAAATTTTTTCCTACCATATCTGAAATGCCTAAAATAGTACCTCATACATAATAAGCACTCAATAAATATATTTCTAATGAATACAATAGAAAAATAGGCAAAGGAAATGAATAGGCAATTGACAAAAATAGAAACAGGAACAGTCAATAAACATGAAAAAGATCCAACCTCCCTAATGATCACTAAAATCCAAATTAACTATAATTTTACTGCCATCTTATGAACAAAAATTAAAGACTGACAATACCAAGTGATAGCAAGGATGTGGAGCAACAGGAAAACTCATACACTGCTGGTGGGAGTAAACTGGTATAATCACTTTAGGGAATAATTTCACAATAGTTGAAGATATGCAAAACCTACAACTGAGTGTTATAGCTTGAACTATGTCCCCCCAAATTCATATGTTGAGGTCATAACCCCCACTATCTCAAAAATGTGACCTTATATAAAAATAAGATAATTGCAAATGTAATTAGTTAAGATGAGGTAATTAGAGTAGGCCCTTGTCTAATACGACTGATGTCCTTATTAAAAGGAAAAATTTGGACACAGAAATGTACACAGGAAGAATGGCAAACATAATGCAAAGATGAAGGCAGAGATAGGGATGATGCTTCTATGAGTCAAGGAACAACAAAGAGTGCTAGAAAATCGCTAGAAGTTAGGGGACAGGCAGGGAACAAATTCTCTTAGCCCTTATAAGAAACCAGACTTCTAGCCTCCAGACTTGATCTCAGACTTCTAGCCTCCAGACAGATGAGCTAATGCTTTTAATGATGTTTAAATCCCTGAGTGTATGGTATTTTGTTACAGCAGTCCTATAAACTAACACTGAGTAATAGATTGATTTGATCATATATTCCTCTCTTCTATTAGGATAGCTGTCCCTAGAAATATGAGCCATGGGGGTCATATTTTTTCAGCTTCATATTCCCATTATGGGGGTCATAATCTTTCCAGCTCAGATTACTCAAGAATTAGGCTTCACCATAACTTCCATCATAATTTCTAACTTCTAGTATTTAAATCATTCACAATGACATTTCAGGACAGAGGAAATATATAATAACACACATGCACGTATTAATGGCATTTTAAAGATACAAGCAGACATGTGTATGGATGTACACACATACAAAAATACAAATTACTGAACTGGAACAAACCATCTGATGCATCAATTTGCTCCTGCAACAGTGACATTTATATTTGGACACAATAGATTAGATTCAGGAAACGATATTAGGATTGAGAGGAAATGTCATTATTTTTCAAACCAGATAACACTGAAATAATCACTGGAACTTAGATGAATGGAAGTTTATGAGGTCACAAACTTTTTATTCCTTGTCCCTCCAGATTCTAGGAATTTTTGTCATTGTGGATGTGTTCTAGAATATAGAATCATGTGATTATAAAAGAGGCATGTGTTTTCATTTGTTGTAGCTTTGGGAGTTCAGGCTATTGCCGTACCGTATTTGCTAAAGACACCACGGCTAGACAGACCTAGCTGATCCTGGCTAAGGTACTGCATAGCTAACCCTTTCTATGTGGTGGGAAGATGTGTAGGTTTTCCGAGGCAATCCCTTTGCAGAGGTGCGAGGCTATGTATGGAGGGGGCTTGATAGTGGTGTCCTATGGCTGGTGACAGTAGAATTGGCTACAAAGAAATCAACCTTGTCACCTGTGATATCAGAAAGGGATTTGGGAATATCTTATTGTGAGTAGCAAGGACATCAAATGCATGATAGTCTCAGTTGGGAGAGAGTTCCCAGAGGGTAAGTGTTAGAATCCTCCTAAGGAAGGAGACAGATGTTAGGAAGTTCTGTAAACAAAATTAGAGCAGTCCAGGTGACTTAGAACTGAAATCTGGATCTCAAGTTTTACACAATAGCCTATCCAATAAGGAGGTCTTGTTTCCCCAAAATTAAGTAACTGGAAGAGTTATGACCTCCTACCTGCTTCTTAATGACAGAGGCTCTTCTGTGAAGGGCTGGATCTCACCAAAGTTAGGTAGTTAAAGTGTTTCTCTAGAATCTAGGGTTCTGGAGCTATGCTCCCCAACCAGTTACTTGAAGGAGGCATGAAAACAAATGGCTGAAAAAAAAAAAAGCATCTCAATTTTCAGGGCACGAGGGGCTCATTCCTAATAATCTAGAGGAGATAAGTACTACCTTGGCCAGTTTACTCTTAGTTTTCATGGTCAGGGAGCAGGGGTAAAAATAATGTCCCCTCAGGGAGTATTCTTTCCTCTCCCAGACTTAGCAAGAAAGAAAATCATTTTTTTCAAGTTAGTTCTTAGAACAGACCGAAATATTAAAATTTGAATTGTTTGGATATTACCCATCTCTTGTGCCTCCATTCATATCAGGCATATTCAAACCATTTTGGATTTTTTCCAGGTTTTTCTATCTATGCTATGGATATTTGTAAAAAGTGTCCATAACCAGATAATTTTCGATATGTTTTCCATATGGTGGTTTTTAGAACCTCACTCTAAATTGGGGTAGAACTTAGATGAAAGCCTTTTACCAAGTTTTATCCTCGTGCCTGTCAGCTTCCATGTATTTGAGTTACCTGATGTGTGAAAATGGGGATATCCGACACTGCCACTCAGATTTGGGATAAGTTTAACATTGAGGTTAAACACAGGTATCTCTACTGAATAACAGAACCTATGGAAGGATCGAGCAATAAAGATTTCTAGGGGCATGTGCGTGGCTCAGTTGGTTAAGCATCTGCCTTCGGCTCAGGGTCCTGGGATTGAGCCCTGTCAGACTCCCTGCTCAATGGGGAGTCTACTTCTCCCTCTGCCCCTGCCCCTGCTCTTTCTATCTCTCCCCCTCCCCCATCTCCCTCAAATAAATAAATAAGAATTTCATTGTCAACCCAGCTTTAATTCCCAAGAGCCCCATTATTTGCAATATATAATATTATGCAATTTATAATATGTAATATAAAATGTAGTAAAAAATAGTCTCAGGGATCTTCTTATACATTCAGGCAACTTGCCTCTCTCCATTACAAAGTAATCCTGTAATATAGACGCAAGATATCCCAAACTGCCTCTTTGTTTTCCATAGAGAGCCAGTTATGACTTCATAAGCCATGCAGTCAGTTCTTCAGGAGGTGGTGATAAAGAGACAGATGTAAATGGCAATCTTACACCATTGAGGGAATGAACCCCCCCCCCTTTTTAAAAGATTTTCTGGCAATTTCACTTGGTAAAAAACATAATAATCAGTACAACATAAAGGAGTTTGTTCTAAAATATCTCAGATACATATGGACAGCAAGAAAAAAAATCTAGTCCGGGAATGTCTAGGACCCAAAAAGAGCCAATCTGCCACTTAAAAAGTCATTTCTAAAAACAGTAAATAGCAGGATAAGGAGGACTTGATTATATGTCCTTATACGACATTAGAACACTATTGGATGCACTGTTAATAGTTGGAGAATGTATGAGGCTGACTTAAGGGGCAGTGAA